ATGGGCAACAGAAAAGTGGGTGAAGGGAAACACCGGGCAGTGTAAGATAAGATAAAATAATAATTTATAAATTATTAAGGATTCGTGAGGGAAAGGGGAGCAGGGATGGAGGCGGAGGGGAAAAAGGAAATTGAGGAGCTGACTCCAGGAACCCAAGCGGAAAGCAACTTTTGAGAATGATGAGGGCAACAGATGTATAAGTGTGCTTTACACAATTGATGTATGTATGTATTGTGATAAGAGTTGTATGAGCCCCAATAAAATGATTGAAAAAGTAAGATAGGTGCAGTGTGCATAGGAATTTGTTCACACTTTTTTTTTTAACTATAGTCCGCCCCCCCAACGGGTCTGAGGGACAGTGAACTGGCCCCCTGTTTAAAAAGTTTGAGGACCACTGAGGTAGAGAGTCAGATATTGACAGATACAGAGAGATAGAGACAGGTGCAGAGAGATAGACAGATGCAGAGAGAGCTAGAGACAGACACAGAGAGATAGACAGGTGCAGAGAGAGATAAGAGACACAGAGAGATAGAGACAGATGCGTCGAATCCGATGGAGTTAGAAACAGAAATAGACAGAGATAGAAAGCCAGAGACATACATGAACAGAGAGAGAGAAACAAGATATTGAGAGAGAGATAAGTAGAGAGATGGAGACAGAGACAGAGAAACAGACAAAAACAGAGAGAGAGGGAGAGAAAGGAACTGGAGACCAAGAGAGACAGCCAGCCTGGTGAGGCAGACAGAGAGAAGAGGCTTTGAAGACAAAGGAGGGGGCAATGTGAGGGGCTGAGGTCACTGTCCCCTTGAGAATGTCCCCTTCCTCCAGAGATATCTTCCCTGAGCACCCCCCCCACCCCCACCGCTTGGCAGTTTTCAGGGGCCACATCCCCCCGGGAGCTGCCTGCGGGGTTCCAACCAGGTCACCACCGTGAGCTCCTCCGTGTTGCAACCTCCGTGCCCTAGCCCTCCGAAGGACTGCCTCCTGGTAGCCTCGGTCACTGGTGGCCAGGAGTGGTCCAGCTGGACACTTAAATTCACACGCCCAGAAGATGCAAGAGTTTCCAGAGGCTTCAAGGAGGGGGAAGGTCAGAGAGCCAGGAGCTTTCTCTCCTGGGAATGGACAGGACAAAGGGCTTGTGGCCCGGTCCCTCCAGTGGCCACGGCACATACCGAGGCCCTTCAGGGCGGGGTGGATGGAGCTCCAGACGCCCACGCTCCCCTTGCGCAGCCTCTGCCCAATGGCGAACTCCATGTGCAGCAGCGGGATGCCCTCCACCACCAGCAGGATCAGGAAGGGGATCATGAAGGCTCCTGCAACAGACAGCGCGTCAGGCCCCTCCCGGCCAACCCCAGAGCCAGCCAGCCCCGGCTGGGGAGCTCAGGTGCCCGGCAGAGGACCTGGAAGCCCACCCCGGCAGCACCGCTGCCCACGATTGCACCGGCTTGTTGTGGAACTTTCTAGAAACGGGCACCCAGGGAGCAGAGCTGCAGCATCTCAAGAGACGGCTGATTCTAACCGCAAGTTGTCTCATGATCAGTTCGTAGAGGTCGGAGAAACCTGACTCCATGCCAGCGGCTCTTCAAGCTGCCTCATGATGGCCCCATGGGTGTCAGAGGGAAACTGGGCTCCACGCCTGGGCTTTTCAAAGGGCTGCCCTTGCAGCAGTGGATGGACAGGCCTTAATTCCGAGGCACCAGGAAATGACCAGTGTTTCTAGGTGTGGATAGGATCTAACTGGCTTCTCGGAGTTGTGATCCTTAAGGAAACCTCCGGGCTGTGGAGTCGATTCTGACTAACAGAGACCCCAGAGGACAGGGTGGAACTGCCCCTGTGGGTTTCTAAGGCTGTCACTCTTTATGGGAGTAGAAAGCCTCTTCTTTTGTCCTGGGAGCCGCAGGTGCTTTCAAACTGCTGACCTGTGGTTAGCCGCCCAATGTGTGACCACTACGACACCAAGGTTCTCACCCAACTCAGTGTCTTCGAGTCGATGCTGAGGACAAAGTAGGACTGCCCCCGTGGGTTTCTGAGACCATAGCTCTTCACAGGACTAGCAAGCCTGGTCTTTCTTCCGTGGACTGGCTGGTGATTTTGAACTGCTGACCTTGCTGTTAACAGCCCAATGCCTAACCACTATGCCACCAGGGCAGCCACTGATAACCCCACAGGTCCCAGATTTGTTCTGATTCACCCGGGGTCCCCAGGAGTCCAAGTGGAGGCGACAGACACAGGGGCTTTTAAGACAAGAACGGCATGTTGGAAGGCTAGGGCAGAAGGCATTGTGCACTTCTGTTTCTTCTCCACGTGAGTCCACCACCAGCCTCTTCCAGGAACCTCATGGAGAACGAGGGGTCTCTTTTCATCCCAGACAGGGATTCAGGCTGGAAGCCCACCCAGCAGGCCCACCAGGGCAGTGGTGCTCACTGCGTTTCAGGGGCACATTAATCATTCCCATGATGCCCACCTGGAAGGTACCCCCAGGATGGTCTGCTGAGTGAAGGAGGGACAGGAGGAGGGTGGGGGCATGGGGACTGAGCCGGCCCTCTCAGTCCAAGGCCCCTGTGCACCTGTGGCTCCCAGCACCGTCCCTATGGTGGGTGGATGGACAGCAACCCGGGGCCTGTGTGTTCCATGCTGAGCCCACTCCACTGGCTCCTCCCTGCCCTTGCTGTCCCTGTACCACGCCCTTGGAGGATTCTCGGTCTCTACGGAGCCAAACTCATGACCCTCGAGGCCATTTCCCCTCAGTGCGGCCTTGTAGGACAGGGTAGAGCTGCCCCTGGGAGTTCTGAGTCTGGACGGGAGGAGAAAGCCTGGTCTTTCTCCCTCGGAGTGGCTGGTGGAACTGGCCTTTTGGTTGGGGACCCAGCGTGTCATTCACTGTGGCACCAGTGGTTGTGTTTCTAGAACATCTACCTGTCTAGGAATAGACCTTATTTCACAATGGCTATCATAACATACATATATTACATTATATTGTTGTTAGGTGTGGTTAGTTGGCGCTGACAGAAGCAAACACAACCCGGGCCTGCGCCGTCCTCACAAGGGTTCTTATGTTTGAGCTCATTGTTGCAGCCATGGTGCCTGTCTACCTGGTCGAGGGCCTTCCGCTCTTTGGCCGAGCCTCCGCTTTACCAAGCATGACGCCCTTCTCCAGGGACTGGTCTCTCCTGACAGCGTGTCCAAAGCATGTGAGACAAAGGCTCTCTATCCTTTCCTCGAAGGAGCATTCGGGCCGTACTTCTTCCAAGACCGATTTGCCTTGTGTAATATTATGACGGGTCTGTTAGACGAGGGGAGCTTTGAAAAGCTCATGGGAAAATGACATGCAGAGACAATGGCATTTTCCCATGATCCGTCTGAAGCCCCTTCACACAAGACCCCGCCCCCCGCCCCCGACTTACAACAGAGTTCATTGATCAGTTCTGACACAGGCCTGCAATAAAAGGCAATTTTTAAAGTTTTCATTATTGCCTTTTATTATCGGCCTCTGTATAAATCTGATCTTTATTTGTCTTGGAGGGTTGGGAACCTGGATGTAAACTTGCAGATATATTTTAACACCTGTCTCTGTACACAGAAAATACGTAAATCGTTTTATTTAGTTAGTTTTTTACAGGCTGTGCCCAGAGCATGGCTAGTTGTGCCTGGCACACATCGTATATAGGCTGGGGAGTCACTGCTGGTATCTATTAATGCTGTAGGATATAGAATATATAAATTAAAAGGAGCCACAGCGGCTCGGCGGACAAAGCTCTGGACTGTCGATGGAAAGGTCAGCAGTTTGAGCCCACCAGCCACTCCTTAGGAGGAAGAGGAGGCTTTGTTCAATTTGAAGACTTAGAACAGTGGTTCTCAACCTTCCTAATACTGCGACCATTTAATACAGTTCCTCATGTTGTGGTGATCCCCCCCAACCACAAAATTATTTTCGTTGCTACTTTATAACTGTAATGTTGCTACTGTTATGAATTAGGCGACCCCTGTGAAAGGGTCTTTCG